ATGGCAAATAACATTTGTATTTAAGTGCTTTAAGCATTAAACATTGTATTTAGATTGCTAACGGAAAGGATTAAAACATATATAAAAATTAAACTTAGACATCTGGATATATTCCAGAGCTAGGAGGATATGTGTGTCACTTTCTCAAGTCAGCAAAGGCTATTATGAGGCTGCTCGTAATTTGTGATTACTGGGGGCTAGTTGATGTCATGGCGGCTCTGTTGTAAAGCAATGTCTGCGTGTGTCTCAGCTACTGAAAATGAAGTCCTGTCCCCTCAATGAGAGTACGTTTGAGGATTGGGCTGGGGGAAAGGAAAGACTTGAGAGAAATGTCTGGTGCATTCACTTTATAATCTTTTCTCTATACGGGCTGAAAACACTTATCTCTGATTCTTGCTAATGTTTGCTTCCAATATTTTCTTAAATTTTAAGGCTAAATTATTCATAGGAGTTATTGTAGACTGCCATCCATTCTAGATAAGAGGCGGTACGCATGACTAAAAAATTACACTGACAATGTGTCGTCCAGGAGTGTTTCTCTTTAGACTTGTTTTACTTTGATTTACGGCTCCCTGTATGACTCCTTTAGGTCATCGGCCCTGAGAGTGCCCATGGGTAATGAAAAGTTTAAGTACACTGCAGAGTCTCTGAATAAAGGCTTCAAAGCTGAGACAGTGACAGAGTGGAGCTGCATGTGGTATCTATTTCTCAATGTCATAATGAAGTTGCAAAAGGTCAGGTGAAACCGGTCCCATAATGCCATCCTTTGGGATCACATCAATTATATATATGTGCATTTACACAGGAAAAAAACCCAAACAAACAGCCTTTATTTGTGTGTGCAGTTTACTTTGTGCAATTGCCTCAAATAGAAGTGACCTAGCTTATAGGTACAGTATTGATTTTTGCAGTTGTACGTGGGTGAGAACCTCACACGTTTAATATGTTTATTCCTGAAAGGGTACTACACATGTGTGGAAGTCATCTTCACCCTAAGGAGACAGGTCGGGTTTTATATGATGGGCGTCTATGCCCCGACCCTGCTGATCGTGGTTCTCTCCTGGCTGTCCTTCTGGATCAACCCGGATGCCAGTGCTGCCCGAGTGCCCCNATATATGGAGTGCATAATGTGGAACAGTGAAAAAGATAAGAAAGCAACATATATACAACGATTGCCAATATTTTTTCTTTAATATGTACAGAAATAATCAAATAATGATCTGGATTTAACTTTGTTAAAAATTATGTGTCTTGATAATTGTAGAAATGGCAAAGGAGGAGAACTACATGGAGAAACAAGTATACAAAAAAACCTTAAATTGGAAGCCTGCGTGAATAATAATGAAATGAAACCCCACGAGAAATAGAAACTAAATTGAATTTGCCAATGAACATTTATATCAATTAGCTACCCACCTGCCTCTCATAAATGTAACAGTACCAGAAAAAGATCAAAAAAGATCAAGAAATGTTTCTCATAAAAGTTTATGGAGCAAATCACGATAATATCCAAGCACGCATTTTACTGCTCAGTGCATCCAATCATCGGAGCCTCCCCTAGTGGGTGCACCTTCATAAAGGAACATGGGGCAACCTGCTTCAGAATACAGGGCTCGTGTTATTTAGCCTGTCATTTAAGCATGGTGAGATGGAATGCAAAGATTCATTTTAAAGTGAGCAACTCTGGAGCAAATTTTTATAATATTTATGACCACTGAGGCTACCTAAAAATACATAATAAGCACATATGTATCAATCTCTAGTTCCTATGCACTAGATGAATATAAAATCAAATTCAGTAAGTGATGCCATCACAAAGCCAGGTACTTCAGAACCACTTCTATGAGACTCCTAATTGCAGCAAAGGGGATTTATGAAAGATTCTATTTTGGACATTTTGCACATGATTGTTACTTACAATAGAAACATATGTTCTTGTTTGTCCAGACAGGAAATTAAGATGAGTGTGGGGAACAGAAAAGGGAGGAACATTTTTTTAAAATTGTTTTGCCTTTTGTGTCTTTTTAAAACCTGTGCACAATTTAAATGAATTGTCTAGTTTCAAGGAAATTAAAGTTTAAAAAAAAAAGACAAACACCCTTCATTT